GGGGGGGGGGGGGAGGGAAAGAGGCAAACATAGCACTGGAAGGGGGAAGCCTGGTACCTGGCTTTTATGGTCTATGTATGATAACCCAGGATCTGGTTTCCAGCTAGGAAGTAAGCTACCAGTGTTGTAAAGTGCATAACTAGGAGTCAAGGTTTTTTCACAAAGCTCCACTTTCCTGAGGCTGATTCATATCTGCCCTTATTGTTATCTGTTGTGTTCACATGCGGTTTTTTCTTTTGTTAGTCTCTTTTCCTTCCTTGTTTTTAAAGAATAGCTTATCTATATGCCCCAGAAGGGTGTGACTCACAAGGATCACAAGCTTTTTACAATGAGCTAAAGCCAGCCTGCTGACTACAAGAAAATATGCTGAGGTTTTCAATCACAAGTGCCACATTACCTTTGGAAAAGGCAGTGGTCACACCGAGATGCACACTGGTGGGACTTGGACGGGTTCGGAGCCTCCGTTTCCACTACTGACAGGCAACTGTACTTACAAGATTATCTCATCTTGGAGTTTTACTGGTTTTGTGTTTCAGTGCTCTTCATCTCTGCTGCCCTGTGCTGTGAAGGACAGCAGCAGTAGGACACAGAGGTGTTTCTGAACACGTGGGTTGCATGGATGCAGTGACCAGAGCTCAAGCCTTGGAGTTGGAAAACGAGCTTTCAGCTGAGCTCTGCTGTGATGTGCGTGACCTGGGACCAGTCACATGGCTTGTCACTCATCACCTTCCTCATTATGTATATTAACTGTGCATACCTGTGTATTTCATTGGGTTATTGCAGAGCCTGCAGAAGATTGAATTAATTCTATCAAAGTCTTAAGAGAAATCCCTGTGTTACTGAAGCTTCAGTAGTAGGAGGAAGAGAGGGGGGCACCAATTTGTCTTTTTATTTTTTGTCAGGACCCTTTGCAATGGATGACAGAGCAGACTCTCTGATGACTGTGCATCTTCTTACCAATTTGGGTCACTCATTGCCTCTGCAGCAAACTCTGGATCGGCTTTTGGAGTGGATCTGCCTGGACATTCGCCTTTTCCTGGTGTCTGAGCGAGTTACTCCACTGAAATACTATGAGAGGCATCGTAAGAGAAGCTGCAGTTTTCCTGGAATATCTGTCCTCCTTTTTCTACATGAAGACTTGGGAGAAGAACGGATTTTCCAGGTCCATGAGCAATTCCAGCGTTTGCCCTGGCGCTACCAGTGTGCCCAGATTGCTAATGGGCAAAGCCACCCCTATGCCCCAGCTCACCAGGACTTCTATGGCCTGGACGACCAGATGCCTGTGTGGGGCATCAGGCGGGTGCACTGTGGCCCCGAAATCCTGCGTGTCACCCTCTACTGCACTTTTGATAACTATGAGGATGCAGTGAGACTCTACGAGATGATCCTGCAGAAAGAAGCAACTATGCAGAAAGGTAACTTCTGTGTCTTTGTGTTGTACGCAACACAAAATGTTGCTGTGCAACTCTGCTTGAAGCAGCTGCCCATTGGGGTGGCTGCTGAGCCAAAGGAGTCGTCAGCCTTGCAGTTCAAGGTGCAAGAAATCGGGCAGCTGGTGCCTCTCCTGCCTAACCCATGTATTCCTATCAGTAGCACCAGGTGGCAAACACAAGACTACGAAGGAAATATAATTCTGCTTCAGGTACGTGTCTGTGGTGCTCTGAGAGGAGTTTTTTTTTGTTTTTTTCAAGGAAAGCAGAACTGATTCAAAATGGAAATTAAGATTTTGCTTGTTCATGTTTTCTTTTGAATTTGTGAATGCAGTAATTGGTATCTGCCTGTGCTGTGATGCTGTTCATAAATATAAGCACAGATCCTCATTAAATTAACGTCATACTGCTTGCCTGAAATTGAAGGTATTAATGCTTTTTTTCAGCAGGCTAGTTTAACATCTTCCCTTCCCTGCCTGAAATAAATGATTATAGCAGCCTGGTAAGTCGTTATGTTATACATGTTTTTGAAAGCAGATTTTTAGTATCCAAAATCAGATGTATTGTAAGTATAGTGTTGATACAACATCGCCTGCAATAGATTTTTTTGAGCTCTTGAGTGAGTTGCAGTTGGGCAAAAGTGCCAAAGAAATGTGTCATAGGAAATCTCTGCTTTTTCTGTTGAAGTGTGCGGTCCAGAGATGGTATGAATAAAAATAAATAAACAACAAAAAAGACTGATGAGATGATACATAGAGGGAACTATACATGTGAGCAGGAAGGCAGTTTAGCTCAGTGTGCTTTCTTTCCATTGTAACAACCCCTCCCCCCTCTGATTACTTTTTCTTGTAATTTGGATATTTAAATAATTTGCTCATCCTGTGATTTTTTTTTTATTCCTTCCAGAGCTCATTTGTTACAAATCCAGTTAATTATTCTGTATGGCCTATTTTTATGCTACTATGAACACTAATGCTCAGGGCAGCCTTTGCATACTTCTCATTTGGTATCACTTTATAAACTGGTTTGCCACCCACTTGAACAAGGCCCTGAGCATCTTCATGTAGCTTTTGAAGTTGGTCCTGCCTGGAGCAGGGGCTGGGTCAGATGACCTCCAGAGGTCCCTTTTTTAATTACTCTGTGGTTCTTCCTGCTGTAGATACAAGGTCTTTAAGCTGACAGACGTACATGAATTCACTGGCAGGAAATTCCAAAACTTTTTTGAGGTTATAGCTGTGCTGCACTGTGCTCTTAGCAAAGGAAGCTGGAGTCCAGTTGAACTTGAGGCGGTGTATCTCGTGTCTGTGCTCTACCTGGGACGCTGACAGTCTAGCACGTGGTGCTTTATTCTGCAACTCTGTGGTTCACACTGTAAATCTTTATTCTAAGTACCTGCAAATTATTTATTCCCTCCCCAACTTTTTGCCCTATTGCAAACCAAATCCAAGGGTCTGCTCATGGACTGCCACCCACATGGAGTTGTCATTCTCCTCTGAGCCTGCAAGAACTCTTTTCTTGGTTTTATTGGGGAAGAGATAACACAGGCCACCTAGTTTGATAAAGAACAAACCACATCCTTTCCTTTTTTTTTCTGAAGTTGCTCTTTAATTACTGTTCTATTCCATGTCCTTTCTCTGAGTGTTTACAGGAGATCCCTGTTGCTCAAATTTTACAAGTTTAGCCTTAAGACCCAAGTAGGCGTCTTAAGTAAGAGAGTATGATCATCTCCATGTGCCACTTTGTAAATAGACATGAAGGGTGTCTCTAGTCTTGCAGAGGATTGGTGAGGCTGGTGCCTTGCTCTGGGCTGGTGTCCCCAGGGACAGCATGCTCCATGGGAACAAGTGGGATGTGCTCAGCAGGTCCCAGTCCCGTTGGCCTTGCTAGGTATCTCCTCCCTGAATTAGCATTACCCAGCCATTAAAGGAATGCCATTTGATCCAGAGCTTCCTGACCAAGTTTCTTTCCAAAAAACAGCCAGGCAGGATTTGCAGATATGAAGAAGCCTCAGTAGATCTGATGCCTCCGAGAAGGTTCTGGGACAGGCACAGCTATTTGTGTGTGCTGTGTTTAGGTCACCTGCAGCAAATATGTTGTGTATGTGCACTAGTCCTGAGAGCCCTCTGAAAGCTGCCCACAAGCACCACAGCCTGTGCATGCTGCTCTCAGGAAAATCCCAAACAAAGGTGGAAGGGCTTGGAACATACTATGTGGTGATTCAGGTTTCTTGTCTGGACTGGGTTTCAGCCACAGCTGTCTGTGCACAGCTGGCAATAGGTGGCTGCCTTGGCAGAAGCAGCAAGAGGACGAGTACATGTATTACACCCCAGTAATACACACCTGAGCTGCCTGTTTTAAACTCAAGGGTCTTCTGAAGCTGGCTGTGGTAACTTGCAGTGACCTTCCTTTCCATGTGTTTATCTAGTCACCCCTAGAATCCATGTGAACTTTTTCTATCCACAACATCTTTGGCAGGGACTTCCCCAGGTCTCCTGCCACCTCCCTTTAATTGAAACTGGCTCCACCTGGCTTCATTTGATGGCCTCTGCTTCTTGAATTGCAAATGGCAGGGAATGGAAAATACCTACCTGTTTCTCCAGGTGGTTCATGGTGGTTTAGCCTTTTATCCTCTCCCTCCCAAACTGAAATTCCCAGCGTACATGGTTGTCCCTTTACTGTAGTTGTAATTATCCTTGTCCATTTCTGAGCATTTCCAGTCCATGAGACTCTGTTGTGTGCTGCAGGTGAGAGACAGGCACCATGGTCCAGTTTTGGGACCAGAGCTGCACTGTGCAAAACAGTGTTCTCAGTTTTGTTTGGAATAATTCTTAAGATTTCATTTGCTTTCTAGACTGATGTTATACACTGAACTGATGCTAACACAGTCCTGTCTGTCACAGAAGTGACACCTTGGGTTACAGTCAACTCACAACCTAGCATTTTGTATGTGAAGCTGGGATCGTTTTTCTCCATGTGCATCGCATTATCTATGCTAGGTTTCGTCTGCCATTTCTCAGGCTTGTAAGACTCCTCTGCTGTTCTCTAGTGGGGCTCTGATGGACTCATGCTGTGGATGATTTCAGCACAGTGACGCCGGGTGAGACAATCATCACTTGGTCGAGCTAGAACAATAGGTTAATGGGGTTCTCTCCAAATTTTCTTCAACAGGTTCAAGACAGCTTCAAGCCCCGTGAAACAAATGTTGGGCTTTTCCATCAGGGTAATGCCGGTAATGAAAAAATCCTGCAGGACTCTGTCTCAGCCCCTCTCCCTGTAAAGTGGGGTAATCCTGGGAAGAGAAACCAGGAGGTCAGAGCTGTGAAGGGTAAAGCAAAATCTGACACAAGTGAAGCCCTTGCTCCTGAGCAAGCCAGCCACGACCTCCACAGGCAATTCTGCTCTTCTCACAGTGGTGCAGCAGCCTGGTCGTGGTGGGATGCCACCTCCCTCCGCAGGCAGGTGAGCAGCAAGCTGCAGGCTTCTCTCCCAGAGATCCGTGTTCGTCGGCAGGCAGCGGAGACCAATGTGGACACCGGGCTCACTGTGGCAAATCCTGCGAGCGGCCGCTGCCTGCTGAGCCGCTTCTCCAGGGACCTGCGGAGCAGCCTCCTCCAGCCACGGGCACCCATGGATGGGGCCGGCAGCGCCCTGCCCTCCCAGGACAGGATCCAGCTGCTGTTTGCTGCAGCCAAAAGGAGTAAAGGAGGAGGAGGGCAAAGAGCTTCAGGCTTCCACTCGCAAACAGCACGAGCCAGCCCTGCAAACAGAGCGGAGGATGAGGAGGAGGAATTCTTTATATGACTGAAAACAAACGTGCCAGATGTGCTCTGCTGTCATTTGTAAATGATGAGTCTTTCCATGTGCATTGTGCTTCCTCATGCTGTGACTGCTGATGCTCGGCTTACCTCTGTAACTGTGGCATTTCAGTAGTGGGTTCAGTGCTTACTTTCCATGGAGTGATGCTAAGGAGGCTGTGGGCTGAGCAGGAAAAACAACACTGTATTTACAGATAGGTTTATTTTTTTAATGCAAAATAGATTGGAGTATTGTTGTGCAATGAATAGGAATAAGCCATATAGAGCTGTTCTAAGATGCTAAAAAATAGCCAGTGACATCCTCAGATGGGGTTAGAAGGCGCAGTTTGCCTGAGCTGCCCAAGCAGCTGGGTGCCCCCAGCCATGGAGCCTCATCATCCCTCACCGGGCCATATTGGAACATGGTAGCGGCATGGTCACAGTGCTTATGCCAATTTTCCTCTGTGTTCCTTCTGGCTTGCCCTGTTGTTGGTATTTAAAAGGTATCAGTGGTGCCAATTTTATGCAAATATGAAACTTAAGAATGGTCTTTTAAAATATTTTTGAAGAACAATGTTTCTGGAGAGACCTTTTCCCCAAATTAACACAGTACACACACACAAAAAAAAGCAAACACTTGCAGAGAATATTTTGAGCTGTGTTTATGTTCCAGTAAGACCTGCTGTTGCTTCTTCATATGACACTTTAAAAAAAAAAAAAAACAGCATCAGGCCAGGCTTTTAGACCAATGTGCAGTTATCAGCAAGCAATCCTAATTGGTTTTTAATTAACAGAAGATAAGAGAAGTTAAGAGTCTTGGAGGGAACTGCTGAATGCTGGAGAGTACAAGGGATGGGAGAAATGAAGTAATGTTTCAGTGACAGATGCTGAAGTAACTCCCATCTTGATCAGCAGATTTCTCAAGTAGGATTAAGTAAATCTCAAAGGGAAAGAGATGGAAAGGGCATGACAGAAGAATGAAATTTTTAAAAGAAAAGCCAAATCTGATCATACTTACCTTCCAGACAGCACAACAAAGAGGTATTTTTTCCTTAACTATAGCTGAATTCTGCTTTACACAAAAGTCTGAGTTTGTTTGGAGAGTGCCTTCTCATTGCTGCCTCTTAGTTCATAACTCAGGTTTGACAGGCAATGGCTTCTTGCTGCCCAAAGGGAGCAGAGAGTGATGGGCAGCAGCAGAGCCTTCCTGCAGGGAGTTCTGTGCAATTTTATGGGTATTTACTTGTCTGTGTGCCAGATGAACACAGCCCACGCTGCACTGCATGAGCTGTGTTACCCAGGGAATTCCAAACCCTCCCCTCTGCTGCTGGTGGGCTGTGCAGCCCAGTGGGACTAGAGCGCGATGCTGTGCCTGGATGTTAGCTCTGGCTTTGGGAAGGCCCAGCCTGTTGGGGAAGTCTGAAGGCAGAGCTGAGTTGGTCTGAAGAGCTGCGGGTGGGAATAGGGCAGTCCCTGCTCTGTGCCTCTGCAGTCTCACAGCTGGTGTTGCCCTGGAAGTGACGCTCATGTACCCTTCGATTCAGGGACTGAAACCTGCACAGAGGAACAGGACACTTATTTTACTGAACACTTACAAAACTCTGCTATGTTTTCATAAGCTCCATAAAAATTGTGGACTTTTTAATAAATCATACTGTGATATTTACATCTATGAGTGATTATTTAATCTTACCTAAAAAAGTAGCCAGTGCTTTTCAGAGCTGGAGAAAATGTTTGGTCAACTAGGAAAGCAGCAAAGAGGAGAGCTTGTAGGCAAGTTTAACTCTTTGGGCTCACTGGTGGGTGTGAGGGCAGGCTGGGAGGGACAAGGAGAGAGGAGAGGGATTGGGGTATCGCAGCAGCCTGTAAACATGGGGTTACAGCCCTCGCAGTGGGCATGGGTGGGATAATCATGAACCCAGGAGTAAAACCAGAAGTGGGCTTCCTGGGAGAAACAGCTTTAAAGAGAGATTTCATGACCGTGTCTCTACTCTCATGCCAAAAATACTCAGGATTATGCTAAACAGTCACACTTGTTTTACCTAAGAGTGTGCCTAAGAGGTAGAAGGTCAGTATCTAGCATGGGGGAAATGCTCCATGATTTAAAACAAAGAAGAAAATAAAATTATATGTGAAGTTCAACTGCCTGCAATAGATCCCAGAAGAGAAGGACTTCAAGTCAAAGGAAAACTACTCTGAAAATATTGCTTGTAACAGTAAGAATATAAAATCCATGGATTCTAAGTGCAGGATGCACCTAGTGTATATGCTGTATTACACAGGAAACTGTTGGGTCAGAGGGCACAGTTTCTCTCTGGTGGATTCGGTAGTGGAAGGCAAAGATTCCCATTTTTCATAGGTTGTTTATTATCTCTGGAAACCTTATTTTACATTTTTTCCTTGCCTACTATGCCATTTCTTTCAAGTTTTTAAAAAAAGGCTAATAAGAGAGAGCGCAGGTTGACAGGGGTCTGCTGAAGCTCAGTGTCCCAAACAACATGTGAGGAGCTCACAGGTAAGCACCCAGACCTGGCAGCCCCTTGCAAACGCGTTGCGGATGTGGGAGGTGTGTGGGGTTGGCAAAGGTGGCAGCGGGCTGAGCCAGGGGCTTCTCTCCCCCAGCTCCCATCCTGTGTGCTGGTCCCAGCAATGCACGCAGCAGAAAACAGTCTTGGTGGAAAACTGATGTAGGAGTTTTAAAAAGCTACGCTTAGAGTTATGATGGCATTGCAACCCTGCATGAAGGGAAATGAGATGGGGGTTTTTTACCATTTGTATGTGTCATACTTGATATTAGTGATTTAGTCTGGTGGGAATGGTTCTGACCCAGCTGTGACCATCAGGGGTGCTGCTGATGCTCTGATGGGCAGTGACGGACAGCAGCCAAGGTGGCTGGCATGGGTTGGCTGACCCATGAGCCAACAACTTGAGATGTGCACTTCTTCATGGTGGCGGGCGCCCTGCATTGTGCCAATCTGTCTGTCAGATGGTGTCACACCCAGGAGCAGGAGCATGACCCTGAGACTCCTGTGAGCCATGATGCTGGGTGACCCCGCTCCCAGGAGGGAGCAGATGCTGCTGTGGCTGTGCTCACAGGGGATGATGGTGAACAGTCCCAGCCCAAAGCAAAAGGCTTTTCTCCTGGGCCGGTTGCACAGTCTGGGTGATGGAGGAGGAAAATCTGCTCTTGGGGGAGGAGAGTGTGTGCTGAGAGCAGGAGCCACTGGCAGCAGGAGTCCAGAGAAGCAGGAGAGCTCGCTTAGGAGTTGCCTTAACCCATCCTGCAGAGATGGCTGCTATTGCTTTGGTGTTTCAGCCCCTGGCTACAGAAATGGTGTCTTTGTATCCTCTGAAGAGAGTACAGTGGTATTTCTGAGTTGCTGGGGAGGAGTGGGAGAGCTCCTCGATGCCTGGATACGGGCACAGAGGCGGGAGTGCTCTCCTCACGCCCGGCATGGTGCCGTGGCACAGGCGGGCACCCAGGCAACCCGGCCTTGGCAGGCAGCCGCTGGGCTACGATGCCACAGCCTTGGCCTCTCGTATCAAGAAGTTGGCAAGCTTCATTCTTTTGGGGAAGCAAATGCTGAATGCACTTTTCCTCTCTGAGTTTTGGGTGAAATTCAGCTTTCGGGGATGCCTTGATAAATCCTGCTGTAGTCCAGCAAGCACAGCCGAGCTTTTCAGATTTACACTGGTGGCTCTGGGGTGGGAGTTTTTCTTCTCTCAGCTCAGCAGGATATTCTTCGTCTGTGTTGGTGCTGTGCTCTGTGCCCAGGACACACAAAGTTTCATCCTTGGTGGAGGATGAACTGTTGCATGTACCAAAAGTCCCACATTTGTAACGGAGACACAGAAATTGTCTCTTTAGCCACAGACGAGTGCGGCAGCTCCCGTTCCTGGGGGGGGGCTTTGCTGTAGAGTGTTCTGGGCACCTGCACCGCGGCCCGGGCGTGGAGTCTGTGCTGCTGTGAATGGCCTGTGAAGGCTGTGCAGTTGCTCACTGATGCGTCCCTCTTAATCTGTGCATCGCTCTAGCAGTGATGTTAATTTTCCTCTATCGCCTCTCTGCTGTATTACTTGAGTCCAGTCAGGTGCCCTGTCCCCCCATCACTTGGTCTTTTCAGTTTGCCTTTTGTCTTCCCCGGGTCCCCCCGTCTTTCTTCGTCTTTCTTCGTTGTTTTGTCTTTTTTTCTTTACTGTTTTTGGGTCTGCCTCCCCCCTCCTCCTCCTCTTTCGGCCCCTCTTTCTCTTCCCCCCCTCCCTCCCCTTCCCGTGTCGCCTGGCTGTCGCGGCTGAGCTG